AGCCCATAGGGCTTCACAGGATTTGATCACGTGACCAACCAAGTTCATTTCCCAGAGAACTTTTTAACATTGTTGTTTATTTCTTAAATAAGTATCTCATCTCCCAAGCCCAGAGGCCCAAAGTAAGCTTTTCTGTTCATAATTCTTCAGCTTTGTTTGCTTTCTTGGCGTATATAAGCGTTATCGTCGTTGTCGTTCTAAAGTTACTTGTAAAATTTTCTCATTTTATCTTATCAAGAATCACTGAGCCATAACAACGAAAATTAACATAGAATATTTTTGGTAAAGTTTTGTTCAAATGAAGGGTCACATCCTCTTTTAACGGATACATGTAGTAAAAATTAGATGAGGTCCAGGCGCGGATCAAGGATTTTTTTTCCACGGGGGGGGGGGGGGGGATCCCAATAAAAAAATATTTCAACCCAGAAATTTCTTGACGATCCAAAAAAAAAGAAATTCTTTTCACAAACGTGAAAAACCTATTTCGTGTGTGTGTTTATGTGCGTGCGTGTGTGTGTGTGTGTGGGGGGGGGGGGGTCGTTGACTTTTAAAGCTTCATACCTAAGACTTTTCATACCATTTTAACACAGATCCGCGTTATCGAGGAAGGGTCTGCGTTTTCTAGGGGGGGGGGGGTTTACTTTTACTTGCTTTAGTATATACATTTAACTGCCCCCAACCCCCTCTAGATCCGCGCATGGGGTCATTTGAAAATAGTATTCTCAAGAACCCATGGACTAGAATGAGAAAATTTCCAACATAGCATACATTCATTTTATTTTTCAAATCTTGATTCCAGGGAGAAGGTTTGGGCCGGAAAGAGTGTTCATAATTTAACATAGGAATTTATATATCCCCCCAAACGAAGTGTGTTGGTTTGGGGTGGGGGTGTTTTGAGTCTTTGAATCACACTGTCCGTCTGCCTAGCTGTCCGGCTGTACGTGATAGTTTGCCCAGGATATAACTTTGTTATGAAGAAACTGGAAGGTCATACTTGGTACAAAGATTACTAATGATCCGAGGGTGTGTCATGGTTTTGATCCAACATCATTCCGGCAAGTTCAAGGTCACTTAAAAAAAATAGCAAAGTTTTGTCCGACTCATTTATCTCTAATAGGGAGTCACCGGAAGCTCACTGGATACAGGAATTGCTTATGACAAAAAGAGTTTGCCACGACCTTCATTCAAGGTCATTCCTGTAAGTTCAAGGTCACTGACAGAAAAGTGTAAGATTACTGTATGTGCTATAATTTTGGAAGCTCATACTAGGAACAAAGATTGCTTATGATCCACCGGTTTGAGATAACATAGTACTAGATTGGCAGAAGAAGTGGCAAAACTCGTGCCTGGATTATAAATTTATAAGGGGTGGGAGGAACACAGGAAACTTTTTCTCAGATTGCTTGAGATGGGTTTGTCCTGACCTTGAATAGAGGTTTTTCCCGCAAGTTCAAGGTAAATGGCAGATAAATATTAATTTTTTTTCCATGCTATAACTTTGTAATATAAAATCACTGGAAGCTATTACTTGATACAGAGATTGCTTATGATCCAAGGATGTGTTTTGACCTTGATCCAAGGTCTTTCTGGTACGTTCAAGGTCACTGACAGAAAAGTGCAATATTCTTTTTCAGGAATATCTTGGTCATTGAGTATCACTGGAAGCTCATAATTAGTTCAAAGGTTGTTTTTGACCTTAAAATAGGTCATTTAGGCAAGTTCAAGGTCACTGATATAATAAGTGTAAAATTCAAAAAGGTCTAGTCGCCCACGTGGCGCAGTGGTAAGAGTGTCTCCTCTAGAGTCATGGATTAAGGAGTTGATCCTTATGTCGCAGGTTCGAATCCCACTATGGGACGCAGAGACCGATCCTTCAGATGAGACCGTATAAACTGAAGTCCCGTCTGGCAGTAGGTGCTGGCACGAAAAAGATCCTTCACTGTTCAATGGCCATGAGTGCCGAGTATAGGTCAAAATTTGCAGATCTCCATCGGCAAATATGGTGGCGTCTCCACATGATTGAAAAATCTCGAGAGGGACGTTAAACAACATACACACAAACAAACAAACAAAAAGGTCTTTAATTTTGTAATAGAAAAAATTGCATGCATTTACATTTCACTGAAAAGATGATAAATATATCATCCAAAGTGTGTAATGGCCTTGACTTAAATTCGAGGTCACTTAGAATATGATGTTTTGGATGAATAGTCTGAAAGAATACGTGACTGTGAATTTTTTTTTTGTCGATGACATACAGATGGTGTTTGCTCTTAACCAGCTGCAGAATGTGTCCTGGCTTGACGCACGATTATTTGCACAAGTTCAAGTTCACTGACAGGGGAATTTTACATTCTTTTACTGTCTTTCTTCTGTTAAACATTGTAAGTTGATGCCCCTTACAGGATTGTTTATAACCTTAAAATGTTGCATGACCTTGACTCAAGGTCGCTATGTTCTGTCCGGAGCTCCGACGGAAGACCTATTCGTTGCATTGCAACGAGCTCGGCTCTAGTTATATTTATACTTCTAGATGCACATAAAAAAAAACTCTAAATGTGCACTCTGCGATATCAGACTTGAGTTATTTTTACCAAACACAAAAATATATATCATATAAAAATGGTGAAAAAGAGAAATTTGACACTCAGTGGAACAGGTGGAACCAACTATTTTTGTAACTCTCTCTCTCTCTCTCTTGTAATTCTATATATGCACAATTCTGTTAAAGAAAAGATATTGGACATTTTGTATAGAATGAATTGTGTTGAAAAAATAAAATACCGGTAATTAAAAAAAAAAAAGCCTTAGAGAGTTCCAAATGTCAATATGGCATGTAAATTTGAAGCGGGAAAAAAAAAATTGAGAAAAAGTGTTGAATTCTTCCAATATTTGCATTAAATTTTGGGGTAAAAGGTATCCACAATTAGTGTTTCAGAATCGGACGGAAAACACTTTCGATTATCGAATCGAATCAGAAACACCATTTCGATTCATAATCGAAAATAATCGGACATTTCAGATTTCTTGTGTTTCTTTTTATTTACATAATTAAAAGCCCTGTATTATGTTTTATAGTTATAGGCACTAGTGTCTAAATATAACTGATAAGTAAAAATGTAGGCCTGTATTTAAGTTTTAATGAATCTGCTGATATTTTACTATATTTATTAAAGGGAAGAATTACACTAACTTAAATTTCAGTGCAATAAAAAGGAATTTTAGTTTTATATTATTATTAAACTGATAACTATGTAAACAAAGTGCTTCATTTGTTATGACATTAATCATGTTTATACTAAACTACTGATAAGATGATAAATTAATTTGTTTAAAAATTTTGATTTTTCAAAAGATAAATTTTCTTCTTTTTTTTTAACTTCTTTTTTTTTAATTTATTCCTGTTTATATAAAGAACAGTTCAACAAATTGTCTACCTTCTTAATGTTAATCATATTTGAATCTATCAGTTTATTCAGAGAAATAATTTAAATTGTATACACAGCCAGGGACCTATATACTAGGTCCCTGACATAGCATATGGGTATGCACAATAAAAATACCAATACTTCTTGTGCATTCGTTTTATAGAATAAAAAACACACACTAGTGTGAGAGCAGAGGAAATTCAGGTTAAAAGACAATGTGCTCTTGATAGCTTTATTTCGTCGTCAGTTCTTTCGTTGCATAAAATAATTATGCCTTGCATTAATGGAAGGGAATTTTATTTAGATTTAGTCATTATTATATTTTTCAAAGCATTTTTACGAATCATTCACTGACTCAGTTTAATGCATTGTTTAGTACAGGCGAACGGACACATTGTATGTGTGCACATGGATGATACATAAAAATAATCAGTGTGACTTTTTTGTACAAAAGAAAAGAAAGGAAACACTACCTAAAAAGATAATATATATTAAGATTTAGCATTATGCTTAAAGTAGCTATATATATAGCGACTATCGATTTTGGTGCTATGCTATCGATTGTCGGCATCGCCAACCTTTCAACGACGATTTTTCGATCGTCGGCGACTATCGCTGAATCACTATCCACAATCTCAAAAAAGGTTTGTGAATATGAATAATTTGATATTTATTTTCAATGCAACTTCATTTATATTCTCAAAAACCCGATTTCGGAGCGATTCTGCAATTTTCTGCTCTATTGTGAGTATATGGGACCTGGCATTCTAAGAAACTACATGGTGAGGGCCTGACCAGAGACACAGTTAAATTATTCTAACTAGGATAACGTTATACCTAAATATTTTGCTGTCTTCATCAATTCCAGCTCGTGTATGTCCTTTTAAAGTATAGTTATATTTAAATGGAAATGGTGTGTGGGATCTGGTGATGCTGAATGAACAACATTTTTGAGGATGAAATTGCATCTCCCAAACATGCTCCTAATCAGCTAAAGAGTCAAGGTCTCTTTGAAGGATTAAACAGTCATTTTGGTAATGAAAGTCTCCATAAAGGATGCAGTCATTGGCAAAAAGCCTTGATTTAGATGTTACAGATGATGGTAAGTCATTAATAAAAATTAAAAATAGAAACGACCCATGGACCAATCTAATTAAAATTAGACTTGCATTTTCACTCCTCTACTATACGCTTCAACACAATCTTGTATTGAAGGCTTCAATACGAGATTGTGTTGAAGCGTATAGTAGAGGAGCGAATTTTAGATTGCCCAAGGACTGACCCCTGAGGGTTGTAGTTGTAGTTTCGGCAAATTAGCGGGTATAGAATTGAAAAGAAAAAAAATCAGGACTGCTTCCAAGATTGAAGCAGCTATTCTACGAATATCTAAAACATGTAAGCCGATCATAGTCTATTCTAGTATTCACTTGCGACTTAGTTTCGTTTCATTTGGTCAGTTGGTTTGGTTTGGTTTGGTTTCATTTCGTTTCGATTTCGTTTTACAGTTTACCCTTGATTCAATGTGATTGGACTACACAGGTTTGTTGTTAACTGAATATGTATGTCACCTACCTAACTGCTAAAGGCCTCAACACTTTTACAAGGAACTTATTCAGTCTGCTTTCTCATCCATTGTGAAAGTACGATGTAACTCCGAACCCGAGGTCAAAATAAAGTTTAAGTAACCTATAAATATTCTGAAAAACATCAAGGTTATGTTGTTAAGATACTTTTTTATAGTCTGAAATAATATCTAAAATATTTCATCTCACAAGAATAATCAAAGTTTTTTATTTGAATGATATTGTAAAATCGAAATACTTTGAGGACAAGCTGTCTAAATTCTATTTCCCGAATTTCGAATTTCGTCACATGATCAACATACACGAAAGAAACTGTCACAGTAGACGATGTCTTCAGAAAAGTTTGAGTCACTTGACGACGACTTTACGTCGATTCTAGACAGTCTTAGAGAGAGAATAGAGAGGAAGATTCCAAATTATACTGGCGGTAAGAAAAGATGCTTTCATGTATGACTGGGTTTTGTAATTCGAATCGATTGAAAGAGGAACAAATTGGAATGACCTCCCATCGGTTTGAAAATTCATGTCGCAGACAGGTGAATGGTGCCTAGGTGTACATTCACCTGTGTAGATTACGGGAAAGTAATGATGTGACATTAAATAAAAACTCTTACCACAAGGGCTTGTCACGTTCAAATTGTCTTCCTTTTTTTTGACCACCCTTACACCATATAATATATTCTCTGTTGAGAAGTTGATGGCTCGTTTCAATACTCCCCCTCAACTTCTCTACGAAAGGCCTAATAAAAACAGTTCAGAAATTGACTAAATGAAGAAGCAAACCAGGTCCCACTTCGATCGATGTTTTAGGATTGATGCATTATCATAGACATATTTTGGATGCACAGATGTTGTTTTGCAATGGAAATTGCGATTAAAAATACTGATTCTGCTGACTTAAAAAACATTTATCATGGTAGAACACTTACTTGCGATATCTGTGTCACCAGATTCGTTTATTCATTCAAAACTGCGTTTGAGCCCAGTTGACCTCTAAAAAAGTCTTAAAAAGTCTAGAAGTCTAAAACTTTTTTTCTTGATAAATTGGATTAAATGTTCCAGTGTTAAATAGTTATCCGGAGGAATAGGTTTAGACTTTTTTAGAGGTCAACCCAGGTTCAAACGCAGTTTTGAATGAATAAATGAATCCGGCGACACAGATATCACAAGTAAGTGTTCTATCATCAAAAACCAGTAAACTGTGTCTCCAGACAGCCCTTGCCACAGTTAAGATGCCTCCCAGATACCTGCAATGTAGCAGAAAATTCTTCTTCCATTTGAGATATATGTTTATCCCTGAACTGTTAAGATTTTTGTAGTATCTGTCACATGTCCCATGACTAATATAATCATATGTTATTATATAAAAAATAGTAATTAGAAATAAGCTGGGAATAATGTTTAGGGTGTATGTGTTAAGGGGAGAGGCAAAAATGGCAGCAAGGAAATTCGATGAAAATGTCATTGTTGGCCCAGATATGGATAACTCGGGTGAGATATCACCTGTCTTGAGTTCAGTCTCACTCTCATATTTACTGGTAGTCTAGCCCATCAAATGTTTTGAATTCACTTCTTGAAAATAGGTTTCTTCTGCTGCAATATTCATTGACAATTTATTTGAAGTCATGAATACTTAATTTATCTAACACACACACCCATCCTCACAGTCACACACACACAGACACACCCTTACAGACACACACACACAGAGACATTTAAATTAATATGCCGGTAAAAGGATGTTAATGTGTTCTGATAATAGGGCAGAGTTGTTTTCTCTGTTGATCTTTTTTAGTATTAATAGTTGATATTCATTTTTTTTCTCCCCAGAGGAAAAGAAAACGGCCATAAGACATGCAGAAAGAAATGTGGAAGAAGCCAACATCATTGTAAGAAAAATACAAGATAAAATAATACTAATCTATAAAAAAAAAAATTAAAATAGTTTTAAATTTATGTTTATATGTATATAAAAGAAAAAAAAAATTAAAAATCACTTTTTCTCATATAGTCATTGATTCATGCATGCATTTAGTCTTTCTATAAACAAAATTACATTTTTTATCTATATTCTGTGTATTTCATCTTTGAACTGTGCACTTGTTGTAAATTAACTCTCCTTTAATTCATTAATTATTTCCTGTGTTTATATTCAAAAGACTAATAGCCATGAATTAAGTTGATTGAATTGAATATAAAACAATGTTTGCCAGTATTTGGCAAATTCAAAATTAATAGAACATTATTGGTGCACTTGTGAATTACTGCTGGTACATGTATATTCAGCTAATATAGAAGAGCTTTTTCAATAATAATAAATTATAATCCCCTTTTTTTTAAATAATTGTTTTGTGGACTAATTATGGGACCCTCTCTCCCCACTAAAACTGTTAATGAACCGGTAAATATAGCAAAGTCCTCGGCACATATGGATTTACTTCTATATCCATTATTTGTAATAATCTATATATACTGAATTTGTCAAAGTTTATACATACTGTATAGGGAATTGGCTATATAAATGTACGGAGGGCATTTGAAAAGTTCTGAAAACTGTTTGATAAAATATTAATCATTTAATGGAAGTTAATGAGTTTGGAATTATTGAAAGTCTAGGAAAATATATTGTGCCGTCATTTTTTAAATTTTTATTTCGTAATTACTCTGAAAATGACATCAGAGTGTGTTAAGCATACTTTAACCTAAACCCCATTATTCGTGTTTTATGTGCCATAATCAGACGATTTATTATTTGGATGTATAAAATTATCTCCATTGACTGCTTTGAAGGAGATTTTGGAGTTTGCAGATCTGCTTCGCTTTATCTGATTGATCAAGATTTAAATTGTATCACCATTAACCAATTACTGGGTATATAAAGCAAAACAGATTATGATCATCTCGCTGACATAGTGCTTGTAAAATTATGATAGGTAACACTATTTTTACCTTTTGATTATGTCTCAAAGCAGGGAACCCCCCTTTTGTTTACAAATTTTGTTTCTAATACCTGGTGTATTTTTATTATTCTGTACAAGGCCAATCTTTAAACGTTAGAAAAAATATAATCTGCTTGCATTGAATGACATATGGATGTGATTGACGGGGAAGTTGATATTTTTGAGAAATTATAAGCTCTTACATTTTTCTTTAATTAAGGGGGGCGGGGCTATCAATCCACACTGCAGGTGCATGTGTTTAGGAGTGTGTTAAGCATAACATGTAATTATATCGAAACTGACGCTAAATATTGGTAAAAACAGACATTGCTGTGAGAAAATGACGAAGTTTATAATCACAGGAGAACAGTGGATGGTGTTGCAGAATTTGCTTGCATTAATTTGTCAGGTGTTTTAACCAATTTTGCGGGAACAATTAAAGCTCAAGAGAGGTTTAACTAAAGACGTCCCATATTTTCTCCTAAAAGCCAAAATAGCATTTATGTAGTTGTAACCCCACCGTAACTCGATTTGTTCGTAAATTTTAACTCATGGAAAATAGATAAGACTGTACATGTTAGTGAAATTCAGATTTATTTTTTTTTAGTCAAAAATCAAATGCAATACTGAGTTTTGGATCCCAAAGTTGAAATAATATGAAAAAATATGCAGAGAAACAAGTCTGTCGAGGCAGACTTTTGTATGATTTATTCATAAAAAGTAAGAGTCCTGTTAATCAAGATACATTTGTGGAAAAAGTGAAATCTTATGGGCAAGTGCCATATCTCACTGACAAATCTAATAAAAATTACTGAGAGACAACAATTTGGGTAAACAGGTCTGAAAACTTTGTTATATCCATAAATTTGCTATCTTGTATTTGTACAAAATGAGTTTTACTGAAGCAGTTTGGAATACATAAGTTTCACTGCTTGTTGATTAAAATTTTCATTTTCTCTGTATAGCTCCAAGAGATGGAAGCTGAGGCCAGGATAGCCCCTGTGTCGGCTCGTACACAGATGTTGAGTAAATTGCGCAACTACAGAAGGGAAATTGACCAACTCAACAGATCATTGGTGAGTTAAGTGTGATATGATAAAATTGGTTAATGTTTAGAATCAATTTTTGGACAAACCCTTCTTTTATGATGTTTGATGAAATACAAATATACATGTAAAAATAGTCAGTTGAAGCAGTCATTTTGTATGATGGTGGATCTGGATATGTGTGTTATTAAGTGTATGATGGTGGATCTGGATATGTGTGTTATTATGTGTATGATAGTGGACCTGGATATGTGTGTTATTATGTGTATGATAGTGGATCTGGATACGTGTGTTATTATGTGTATGATAGTGGACCTGGATATGTGTGTTATTTTGTGTATGATGGTGGACCTGGATATGTGTGTTATTATGTGTATGATAGTGGATCTGGATATGTGTGTTATTATGTGTATGATGGTGGACCTGGATATGTGTGTTATTATGTATATGATAGTGGACCTGGATATGTGTGTTATTATGTGTATGATGGTGGATCTGGATATGTGTGTTATTATGTATATGATAGTGGACCTGGATATGTGTGTTATTATGTGTATGATGGTGGATCTGGATATGTGTGTTATTATGTGTATGATGGTGGATCTGGATATGTGTGTTATTATGTATATGATAGTGGATCTGAATATGTGTGTTATTATGTGTATGATAGTGGATCTGGATATGTGTGTTATTATGTGTATGATAGTGGATCTGGATATGTGTGTTATTATGTGTATGATGGTGGATCTGGATATGTGTGTTATTATGTGTATGATAGTGGATCTGGATATGTGTGTTATTATGTGTATGATAGTGGATCTGGATATGTGTGTTATTATGTGTATGATAGTGGATCTGGATATGTGTGTTATTATGTGTATGATGGTGGATCTGGATATGTGTGTTATGTGTATGATGGTGGACCTGGATATGTGTGTTATTATGTATATGATAGTGGACCTGGATATGTGTGTTATTATGTGTATGATAGTGGACCTGGATATGTGTGTTATTATGTGTATGATAGTGGATCTGGATATGTGTGTTATTATGTGTATGATAGTGGACCTGGATATGTGTGTTATTATGTGTATGATGGTGGATCTGGATATGTGTGTTATTATGTATATGATAGTGGACCTGGATATGTGTGTTATTATGTGTATGATAGTGGATCTGGATATGTGTGTTATTATGTGTATGATAGTGGATCTGGATATGTGTGTTATTATGTGTATGATGGTGGATCTGGATATGTGTGTTATTATGGGTATGATGGTGGACCTGGATATGTGTGTTATTATGTATATGATAGTGGACCTGGATATGTGTGTTATTATGTGTATGGCATGTGTATGATGTGGACCTGGATATTATGTGTAGAGCATCTGTATTAAAATTCTTTGCATAATGTGGAATTTGTTAGACATTTGTTAAATTTAATTTATAGAAAAAATTCAGTTTCTGCAACCTAGTTTCACAAAACCAATTTCAAATCAGAAAATGAATTTTCATTTTATATTTTCAAAGAACTAAAAAGCCAATTAGGAAATAAAATCATGAATGCTTTTCATTTTTTATTTACTACCAGAAAAAAGGTACAAGTGCAGGGTTTGGTGGAGCAGACACTTTTGGTTTTGACAGGAATGATGTAAGTAATCCTGTACATCCATATATTGATCACCATTTTGTTTCACCCAGTCTCTGTAGTTCAAGAGGAATTACCAGCTACATAATACCAAGGAATCTTTTGAATCTTTATACAAGTACCGGTGTCATATAATATATTGAACCCCGCGATATTTTGAACCCGGGTTCAAAATATCGCTGCGAAATATTGAACCCCCTTATAAAATATTGATCACCATGTTCAAAATATTATGGCCATAATATTTTGAACCCGGGGTTCAATATATTATAGTCTTAGGCCCATAATATCTTGAACCCCCCTCCCTCTTAGATTAAAAGGGTAGGGGACTCAATATTTTATGGCCATAATATCTTGAACCCCCCTCCCTCTTAAATTAAAAGGGTAGGGGACTCGATATTTTATGGTCATAATATCTTGAACCCCCTCCCTCTTAAATTAAAAGGGTAGGGGGACTCGATATTTTATGGCCATAATATCTTGAACCTCCCCTCCCTCTTAAATTAAAAGGGTAGGGGACTCAATATTTTATGGCCATAATATCTTGAACCCCCCTCCCTTTTAAAGGAAAAGGGTAGGGGACTCAATATTTTATGGTCACAATATCTTGAACCCCCTCCCTCTTAAATTTTAAGGGTAGGGGACTCAATATTTCATGGCCATAATATCTTGAACCCCCCTCCCTCTTAAATTAAAAGGGTAGGGGACTCAATATTTCATGGCCATAATATCTTGAACCCCCCTCCCTCTTAAATTAGAAGGGTAGGGGACTCAATATTTTATGGTCATAATATCTTGAACCCCCCTCCCTCTTAAATTAGAAGGGTAGGGGACTCAATATTTTATGGTCATAATATCTTGAACCCACCGGGTTCAATATTTTATAAGGGGGTTCATTATATCGCAGTGAAAATATGAACCCGGGTTTAAAATATTATGCGATATATTGAACCTGGGTTCAATATATCGCGGTATCAAAATATTATGCTACACCCGGTACTCAACCCAGTTTCTTTCTGAACATTTCAAACTTTCTAAGAGATAAAATGCATGTGGAGTTTAAACTAGAGTGTTCCAAGGAAAGCATATGTCGCCTGCTTTATAGCTTCATTAAAGATATAAATAAAGTTAAGAGTGGTCAGTAATTTATTTGCTACTACCATCATAGTTCATGTGTTTGCCTGTAAAAAAAAAAAATCCACAGATAATATGACTGTGATAGAATCTGACAAAGAAAAAAATAAATGCATTTTTCATAGTACATGTATTTAAATTTATGTTTGTGTGGTAAGAATTGTATATCACATAGTTTTAAGGTACAGTGTCATGAGCTCATAAATATATATAAATGCTAATTATCAACATCCTGCCTCTCAAAATTCAAAAGACATAAGTTAAATCATCTGGAGTATTTTTTTTGTGTGCAAAATAGGTCAAAGGTCAAGGTCAAGTGGACTGTAACACTGGTATTTTTCAACATGTTTTATGACAAACAGTGCACATGCTAAATAGCATATACATACTTCTTAAATGTCAAAAATATGCTGTATATCTGCACTATGATCAAGTTCAAAGGTCACGAGGTCAGTAACCATGGCATTTTACAAAAGCCATAGTGCCAAGCAATATATATGTTTGTAAAACATGTTTATAGCAAACATGTTATAATGAATTTATGTTATAGTGAAGTGATTTTCATTCCCCATAGTTTTAAAACGTGTTGTGAACTACACATTTATAAAGAATTATGCTGGCATGCAGCTAGTATAAACCACACATTTTCCACGGAAATAAACGGAAAAACACACAATGGTATGACATGATTATATATTCAATGACATGATTGGTGGAACATTGATGGTAAGAACTGAAAACAAAAAAGAAATAAAATACATGTATGAAAGAGAGCACTAAAACATAGAGACTTTAGCAAGTCTAATATAAACACTGACAAACAAGTTATGTGTTGCAAATCACATTACTGACAAAAATGAGAGAAAAAATTTATGCAATCATGACAAAGCGACACTAAATATACACAACACAACACAAAAATAAATTAAAGTGACTAAATTAAGCTACTGACATGGTGGTGAGATGAAAAAATGGCCATGAATCAATGGACATGACATGAGAATGAAATGAAAATGTGACAAAATGGCGGACGGCAACATGATAATAAAAAGCCGAACTAAAAAGGAATAAAATTTTCGAGAATGGACTTCTTCTTCTTCTTCTATTTACAACAAAACTTCAGAGCACTGAAGATTACTTGCTGGTGTGCATGCGTGACCTAAGCAAACTAATATAAGGAAAAACTGTGCTTTTATTTACATTTGTGATTAAAAGAAATGTTACTTTTTACATGATACTGTTGAGGACAGCTGGGGTTAGCTGTTCTCTAAAAATTTCTACTTTAGTGGCTTGGACAACAGACTGGGGAAGCAAATTCCATTGTATTATAGTTTGTGGAAAAAAGGACCATTTGTATGTTTCTTTTGATGCTTGTAAGTGTCTGTATGTTTGTGTGTGATTTTGTCTGGTTCTTGCATCTGTAGGTATGAGTATGTCTGTAGGTATAGCAACAAGTTGATGAACTACCTTGTAAAACATTATTAATCTGGTTTTGAGGCGTCGCTCAGCTAGTGTTGGCCACTGTAGTGTACTAATCATGTCTGTAACGCTACTGGTATTGTGGTAATTGTTATGTACATAGCGAGTCGCCCTTCTCTGAACCATTTCAAGTTTTTGTCTATACAGTGTCGTATGTGGATCCCAAACACTACAACAATACTCGAGTTTAGGGCGCACTATTGCTTGATAGGCTCTGGATTTTACTTCTGTGTTTGAAATTTTCAGATTTCGTTAAAGGGATCCTAATGATTTATTTGCATTTGCAATAATATTGTCATAATGTGTGTTCCACTTTAGATTTGACTATAATGTTACACCTAAATACTTGGCTGAACTTACTGACTCAAGTACATGATCATGTAGAATGTAATTTTTAGAATATGTCCGTTTCTTATGAGAGATGGTAAGTTTAGTACACTTGTCTGGGTGGAAAGCCATAAGCCAATCAGACTCCCACCGTGCAGCTGCATCTAGATCTGATTGTAGTTTGTGACAGTCTTCTGGTGTTTTTATTTCTTTGTAGATGATACTATCGTCAGCAAAGTGCCTTAGTTTACTATGATGGAGATATTCAGGGAAGTCATTTATATAAATAAGAAAAAGGATAGGTCCAAGGACTGTTCCCTGGGGCACTCCAGAAGTGACAGATACAGAAGTGGAGGAAATGCCATTTATTACTACTGTTTGTGTTCTATCCGATAGAAAATCATGAATCCAGTTTAATGTCTGTTGTCTTATACCATAGAATTTTAATTTGTACAGAAGGCGACGATGGCGACAATCCAATTAACGACACGATTGACCGAATCAGCTGTAATTCATGCATCTGTAACATCACGACATTAATTTAGATACACAAAACTCTTTAAAAATATAATTTTAATGTACATTCTTCCTGAATGAAATAAGAAAAAAAAATAATCTGTATTTAATTTTTTTCCGTATATCGGATGTCGACTTTATACGGTTCGAAGTTTATAGAGCGCATTTCGTATCCTGTTCTGACAAAAAGGCAGCTGTAACTTTGTGCTGAAACTTTGTGATTCAGAAAGATTTCGATAAAGAACACATTTTATAAACAAGATTTTTTAAAATAACTTCTTAGATTAAATTAATATAGAGGGAATTCTGAAATATGTTGAGCTACAGTCTATATTGAAGTCATGTGCACATAATAAGCTTGTCTGTTTTGCTATGCAGTGAAATCTTGAATCTCGACACCTCGGATATCTCGACATTTTCCGATGGTCCCGTCGATGTCGAGATAACGAAGTTTACCTGTAATTTTTTAATTTTTTTAAATTTTTTTTTTTTACAGAGAGTAGAGGCCTCACAAAGAGCTAGGTTAATGGAAGGTACACAAATCCTAAACAGAACATCAGAGAGCATCGCTCGATCCCACCAGATCTCTGCAGAAACAGACCAGATCGGGGTGGATACTATAGATGAATTGGGACGACAGCGGGAGGTTCTAGAGAGGACCAAAGACAGGGTAAACTATCAAAAATTTAAACAGAACCAAATTTCTTTTATTAAATCTTCCCAGGCAAACCTTCAAATTCTTGTATTCAGCATATACAGGTAACACTTGATGACTCAAACTTCAATCTCCCAAAGTTCTTGATCTCTCATAGTGAGTCTCTGGTCCAGAATTTTTTTCCATTTTAACTATGCAAAGCTAGGGCTTTCATATTTCACGTGTATTCCTTGTGACATGACCTTTCTTGAATACCAACACTATCTCTTGACTTTGACCTTGGAGCTTGACCTACTTTTGATAAACTTTAACCTTGGTCATAACTTTTGAATGGTTGGTGCTAGGGCTTTTATAATCAATAAAGGTATTCCTTGTGACAAGACCTACCTTTGAATATGAACATTTATGACTTCCTTTTTATACAAACGTTTATGACCTTTTGACTTAACCTTGGAATCTGATGTACTTTTGAAAAACTTTAACCATGGCCATAACTTTTAAAGGTTGGTGCTGTGGCTTTCATTTTCACATGTGTATTCCTTGAATACACAAGACCTTCCCTTGCGTACCAACATTTGTGACCTCTTGACCTTGGAGTTTGATTTGACCTACTTTTGAAAAATTTTAACCTTGGCCATAACTTTTGAATTTGGTCTAAAGCTCTCATAACTCACTGTGTAATCTTTGTGACAAGACCTTCCTTTGTGTTCCAACATTTGTGAGCTTTTGACTTTGACCTTGGAGTTTGACCTACTTTTGAAAAAAAATTAACCTTGGACATGACTTTTGAAGAGCTCATGTTATGGCTTTCATATTTCACAGGTATATTTCTTTTTTCAGGACCTTCCCTTGGGTATCAACATTTTTTACCTTAGCTTTGGAGTTTAAACTACTTTTGAACATTTTTAATCTTGGCTTTCATATATCATGTGTATTCCTTTAAACAGGGATTTCCCTTAAATACCAACATTTGTTACCTCTTGACCCTGGAGTTTAATTTATTTTTGGGAAAAGAATTAACCATGGCCATAATTTTTAAATGATTGGTGTTAAAACTTGTGTATTCCTTGTGACAAGACTTTTTTGGGGGTACCAACATTTTTTATCTCTCAACTTTGACCTTGGAGTTTGACTTCCATTTAGAATTTCTAATCTTGGCCATAGCTGTCACATGGAGGCTTAGTAATATATATATATATATATATATATATATATATATATATATATATATATATATATATATATATATATATATATATATATATATATTTATTTATTTATTTATTTATTACATTTTCAACAGTGAAATACTGTGATTTATTTACTGAATAAAAGTGATATTCTCTCACAGTGTGAAAGGATACCAAAGTGATATTCTCTCAGAGTGTGAAAGGATATCAAAGTAAGTAAAAAATAATTTCTGGACTGTCATAAGATAGAGATAGTAACTTGATACAGCTAAAACTGCAAATTTCTTCCCAAATATGTTGCTAAAAGCCATGCTATGTAATGTTTGCTAAGCTGTGATGTCTCAACTATGACGTCAAGCCTATGACACTGTCATAGTGACAGAGGCAGAGGGAAAATCAAAGAAAATGTAATAAAAAGAAAATTCAATGTTTTGTAGATGAATATGGAATTTATTTCATGAGTGGGACAGGAATTTTTGATATTTTTACTTGTGCTTCGCACTCGTAAAAATATCAAAAAATCCTGTCCCACTCATGAAATAAATTCCATATTCATCTACAAAACATTGAATATCCTCTATTTATTTATTGAATAAAAGTGATATTCTCTCACAGTGTGAAAGGATACCAAAATGATATTCTCTCACAGTGTGAAAGGATATCAAAGTAAGTAAAAACTAATTTCTGGCCTGTCATAAGATAGAGATGGTAACTAACCACTAAATAAATTATTTTTTACTTACTTTGATATCCTTTCACACTGTGAGAGATTATCATTTTGGTATCCTTTCACACTGTGAGAGAATGTCACTTTTATTCAATAAATAAATCACAGTATTTCACTATTGAAAATGTAATGTATTGTAATAAATATATATATATTGGGTTTTTTTTTGAGATATACCGTAATATTGGGCAACTTCATCCATCATCAATAAATTTCCCAACTGGATTTACATCATAAAGGAAGATACATTTAGTGCTAAATAATAGTGATGTTGCCAAAATCTATGGTCAAAATGTCAATAATGCCATACTACATTGTATTAAAAAAAACCCCTTTACCTTGAATTATCACTTCATTATCTTTAATTGTGTAATTTTTTTTATTTGACAGCTGGTTGATACAGACTCAAATCTTAGCCGAAGTCGGAAAATTCTAAAAACAATGGCTATGAGGTAAGACGTCATTACCTTAAGTTTGGATAACCATTGGAAAGCTGGTATTTCTTTCAATTTAATAAGGTCTCATTAAAGTCACATGAGTCACTCAGTTGTCCTTCGCTTTCTTATCCTGTAATCATTCATAAATTTTCTCTGGAAAAAAAGCTACTTAGATCAATTTGTTACCTGAATTCTATATTGTTTGGGGGAGGGGGATACCATTGTTTGTACACATATCTTTATATTATACTTTCATGTAAATTAGTTGAATCTGATTCGTCGAGAAACATTTGTTAAAAAACACTATTACCCGCTGAATGATGAAGCCATGCCCTCCAGCTTAACAGTCAACATTGCTTAGCGATGGTTGATATTCCCAAAAATAGTGACTGCGCAGAATTTATGCACCCAAGGTTCACTGTTATATGTATTTGTATAAAACATTCAGTATAATATACTTTGTACCAGTAATAAGTATTGTATGCATATTCATCTATTTTCCACAAAATGGACTGGATGCATGAATTCATTTTACAGTTTCTACAGCAAAAGGGATTTATTGTACAGCTACAGTCATGATCTTTGTTACTAATATTGATGTTTCACACTTAATCTATGTTTTTTTAATAATTACAGGGTGATGACCAATGTTTCATACTTAATCTCTGTTTTTTTAATATTGACAGGGTGATGACCAATAAGATGATTCTGATTGTAGTAATCCTTGTAGAACTAGGGATTTTAGGAGTAGTGATATGGTGGAAGTTCTTCAAAAAGTCCTGAATACAAACTATTTATATATATCTACCATTACATTTATCTGGAACAGATGTTGCACAGTGGAATAAGACATCTAACATTGAAAAATTACTCCACGTGCCTTTATCATTTGAGAGAGAGAGAGAGAGAGAGAGAGAGAGAGAAAGAGTTTTATGGAATAAAGTTATGTTTGTATAATAGTGTTTGTGTATATACATATACCGTGTACATGTACATGTATGTAAAATATTTATTAATTTCTAAGTAAATGCCATATTATAAAGAATTAGAGATTTTTGTTTTTTGAAGAACTGACCGTGAGAGATTTTCTGTTGTGTACAGGATTGAAATTGTGAAGAAGAGGCCCATAGGCTTAACGAGGCCGAGTCTAATTCGAGTGTGCATGACTTTGCGCAGCTTTTTTAGTTTCATGCAGTCTTAGGTGCAACTTAACACTTATCCTAAGTATTACAATTTTGATTTATAAATTAACATTATTTTACATTATCAGTAACATTTATGGGTCTTAAAATGTGCTTTAAAGACAATAATTAGGAACAAACGCTGGGATGGCTTTCACAATGTCACTGTTTTGGTTCTGTAGGCAATGTATGTCGTTGAAGAATGACACCTGACTCGTTTGAGTATTCAAGACGTCCATGGACATTTTATTAAAATTTGTTAACAGAACATCAAAAGAAACATACCAGCAATCTAAACATTGTTATTTTTTACCAAAATAATTCATCTGCGCCGATGTATACCGCAATATGGCAAATTTAGAGGTATTGGGCATTGGAAAAAAAATAAACTTTGTAATAATTCCTAAACCAAACTGGATGGTCAATTTTTTTGAAATTTCACAATTTGGTGACTTTTTACAATAACTTTCATTTATTTGACTGAAAAGGAAATTCCTAAGGCAGAAATACAAAGAATACAGGGAAAATGTGATAATTTGGCGCTTTTCCAACAAATTCCCATAGGGTCCAATAGTAAAATTTGACAACTTTTGTGATGGCTCCCTAAGAAATCGGGATGGTAAACTTTTGATTTTTTTTATCTTAGAATAATTAATGTAATAGTAAAAATTTATTCAATAAAATTTATTAAAATATCTAGGGTAGAAATAATTAGACTCGGCCTCGTTAAGTGCTTGATTATTTTTTTTTCTGACGTGTGTCATAGACTATTTATGATAGCAATCATAAATCATAGCTTGCATAGTGTATATGCATGAATATGAATTTCTATTTATATAATATTATTTTATTGACAGGCTTTGTATCAAAGGCATCAAAAATGTTAATCCTGCTAAAAATACTGTAACTACATATTCAGTATCATTTAGCAATATGTAAAATGTTTGTTTTCTTCTATTGCCTAATATTATCTTGTCCAAATGATGTTGGGTTACCCTTATGACTAGAACTCTGTTCAGATTTAAAACTTTTATCATATATGAGCTGCAACTATGTATCCCTTAATGGGAAGAAAATATTATTTGGTTATCTGTCTGTAAAAAAAAAAAAAAATCAAGAGGTCCATGGGCCACAGTGCTAACCTGAGTAACTTTGGCCCTGCTGTTCTTCACCAGATTTCCTCCCTTGTAATATTTATTTTGGCCCCACCTTGCCACTACTTCAGGTAGCTTCCATATAAATTTAAGGTTTTCTGGCCCAGTTGTTTGTTGAAAAGATTTTTTAAAAAGATTTTACCTATATATTTCAATTTAAAACTTTGATTCCCTATTATGGCCCCATCCTACCCCCTTGGGTAATGATTTGAACAATTTAGAATCTACACTACCTCATAAGGCTTCCACATAAGTTTCAGCTTTTCTGGCCCAGTGGTTTTTGAGAAAAAGATTTTTTAATGACCCCACTCTATTTTTGTCTTTTCTTGATTATCTCCCCTTGGAAGGGGGCTTGGCCCTTCATTTTAATAATTTAAACTCCCCTTCACACAAGGATGCTTTGTACCAACTTTGATTAAAATTGGCCCAGTGGTTCTGGAGAAGAAGTTGAAAATGTGAAAAGTTCACAGAAAGACGGATGGATGACAGACAACAGGTGATCATAAAAGCTCACTTGAGCTTTCAGCTCAGGTGACCTATAAATGGAATGTGGAATCTTTTTCAGAAGGCATTCAATTTTAATAAGGATGTTTTGCCCATGACTTGAAAACATTTTTCTTATATATCCAAGGTAAGGTCATATTTAATAGGTCACAATGGCTCGGTGAAAGGTCACTGGGTATTAAAATTATCACGTAACTAAAACCTTTGATTGAAATGGGGTTCAGTATGTTCATTGACAAAAAGGTATGAAACTTAATTCTTGTCTCAAAGCTGAAGGTTCCAGTAAATGAAATATTATAATTACATGTACACCAGTCATACAATTTGTAGTTTAGTTGGTAGCTTGAAAGTCTTTTAAAACACTGTATCTTGATTCAAGGATGGCAAAATCTCCAGCTCCAGGTGACAGTTTAGTAAAGGGAAGACAATTTTTATCAATACTGAACAACTAGTTTCCTTTGTTAATATCATAACCCAATATGCCCTTAAGTCATAAACATCTTTGTGTCAAGTTTCAACTACTGTCCCTGCTTTTCTTGGTAATTACCTAGCACCTTGTGATAAACAGTGTAATGTTTGCTTTTCTCAAATTTTCTGTTTGTGAGGGGTTACTGGGAGAAAATTACATTGTATTTATAGATATGCACATACAAATGATTGGTATCTTTAACACCAGTATGTCAAATAACAGGGATGTGTCCAATTCTGATATTCCTGAATCTATTATGACCGAGTCTAAACTCCGGTATCTTGAACCCTCTGAATTTTTTTTTTGTGACAGTTATACCAAAATCAAGATATCACAAGTACCTGGTAAAGAAGATTGTAAAGTGAATAATACAAGAGAACACAGTCTATGATTTTATTTTTGTCCTAAATCAGAAATCAATACAACCAATACAATGTACTAACAAATTAAAGGATCCATTGCACTTCGTTATCACAGAACAAACAGCTATACTGAGTTAAGGAAAAGTACTTACACATAACACACAGGTCACCAAACTTAATCAAGAGTCAAAATGCTGCTGTGAATTTCCAGTTAATTCAATAAGAGGGCACACTTTACTGTAAAAATTGTCAAAACTAAGGTAATTTTTTAGAAAGTCAAATGCTGAAAAGTTTTAACAATTCAACTCTGTGAAGGCATGACTTCAGAATGACCTTACTCTGGTAGAAAGGGGGGGGGGGGGGGGGGGGGGGTTCACACTCACGACTTCTCTATTTTCTTGAACTACATTGATTAGGAAAATAAAAAGTCATTTTTTTTACTTAAAAAACTACACACAACAAACGGGTGACTATATCCTCATTCATAATTTCAAACAAAGTTGACTCCCATTCATCAAAATGTTAAATGTGAAAAAAAAAAATTAAAGACGACTCTTATACTTTTTCTACCCTCATTTTGACTTGCATGTTCATTAATATTCATTAATTATCCATGTAAATGAACCGATTTCCTCAGTTCAACACTGAATCTTACGAGGACTACACTATAATCAGCAAATTATTAGGACCTGGAAGTTTATACAAGTATACTTTTCATCATTCAGAACACTGGAAAAGATTTTCTTACATACACATTTGAAGCACTGTAAGTATAAATACATTCATATAAATGTACCCTTTACCAGATGAAAATGGCTCAGATGAATACATTTTGCATTCTGTAAAATATAAGCAGTATGGTGACTATTAATTTTGTCCAATTACAGAGAAAGATGTTGCCAAAAAGAACTGAATCAAGGCCTTGTATAAATCCTGTAATTATGAAACGTATAGCATACTTTATACTATACGCATGCCTTATCATAAATAATCCTAAGGGAAGGCATGTGTGAAAACATAATGTTCAACATTACACATCTTAATCAACAATGAATACATTCCTGTCTTGAATCTGCAACTATTACTCACAGCAGATATGTCAAAAAATGATACTTTCCCATTTACAATAAAAAATAATTTTAAAAAAACACCTGTTTAGAAAGTATCAACTGTAATCTTAGCACCTGGACATAAAGTAAAAGTCTCCTTTAAAGTACATTATGAATCCTGGACTTAAAAAAAGGACAATGAAATTAAGGATAAAGTCTGAGATAACATGTCTTCATCATCCTGGTGATAATAACATGTAAAATAACAACACTAGGAGAGGTTACAACCTCATACCAACCATATCTTTCATAACTATCTTTCATTTATTCCTCTTTCATGGTAAAATGTATATTATTGCTTTAGTCGAATTTGTTTGTTGTGTTTATTGGGGAAACAAGAATTAACATTAAAGCCTGTGGCTGAATGATGAAAATGTTTACAGATGGTCCCTTTTGTTCTCACACTTTCTACATATGCGGACCGGGTAATCCCACCCCCTCATTGGAACAGGGCGCTTGTTAGGAGAGCAACTCTCACAGACACCCTGTCCACAAGCTCTGCAGTGGTGGATCCGAAGTTTTGGGCCAAATGGTTCTTCACAGACATGGCACATTTTGATTGATTCATCAGGTGCCCAGTATGCAGGTCGAGCTGTGTCTTTAATCATTCCTGTAAGAACATTGGGAAAATTAAAGGGGCTTAGACACAGATTTGAAGTTAATATTTTCTAAAAGTTTCAGTAAAATATCATAACTTATATGTTGCTAGAGCATTTCACACTGAAATATTATGAAAATGCATTTAGAAACTCCTTTTATCCGGAAATTATTACAACTACCAATTTAGGGACGCATTTGATTTATTCGCCTCCTTGCATTTTCATGTAATAAACTTCATTCTTGATATTTAAGAAAAGTGGAAAATTTGTTGTGTATTAAAGAAAATATTAAAACTGTAATCCAGAAAATTTAGAGAAGAAATGTGAGAAAGCAAAGAACTGCGAACGATAGTATTGTTCTCCCGCCTACCTCGAAGTCAATTTTCAAAAGTTAACATATATGAATGATTTTTCATATTTATATAAATATTTCTATGAATTTTCATAAAACATTACTTATTTGGGAAAACAGAGAGGGATAACTCTATAATTTTGGTAAAACTTGTGTTTTTCACTACAGAAATCAACAGAAAACAGAAAATATTTTTAAAACATCATCCCCCCCCCCCCCCAAGAAACAAAAATTCCTTTTTACAGGTAATATGGACTGTCATTTCACAAATTCATACCAAAGTTTTTTGTGATTCATGGGGGGGAACATACATTTACAGACAAAAAACGACAAAAATGCTTATTTTTTCACCAATTTCAAAGGGGTTTTACCACTTAAATGTTGTATTTTATCAATTACATATGTTTAATTTTATATGCATAAAACATAAGGAAAGATTTTAAGAACATTTATTCACATCCAAAAAATTTTAAAATAAGATGATAATTTCAAGCCTGATTTCAATGGAAAACATCGTCTAACCCCCTTATAAATAGAGCTGGTGTTAAGAGTAATTAAATATTTTACACTGGTATTAAAATTATTAATCAATTACCATTGAACTCTTCTTTGCATTCAACAAAGATTTTATGGCCAAATTGTAATTAGTATTGAATTAAATGGGTGTAAAATGTAGGCGGGAATCGAGAATTAGTGTGCGTAGTTCTTAACTCGCCAGTATTGTCAGTTTGTGGTCAGTGATGTGAAACAAATTGAAACACACCTGGTAAAACATAAACATTAACAATAACAGAGCTTGTGCCAATGATATTTGACATATTTTTTGAAGAATGTGCTTGTCATTGAATTTTAACAATTTTCATGTAAGTTGAAATCTTTAAACTGAAGTTATTTTTTTAATAAAAGTAGAAATTTAAAAATGCAAAAAACAACAACAACAACAAAAAAAAAAACGGCAATGCAACTGTGTCCAGGCCCCTTTACCAAAATGACTAAGGAGTATGAAACATCAAAGTCAAAACTGCTAAACTACAGGTGTCATCAAAATCTAAATCCATCTAAGAGGTACAAAATTATGTAAAAAAAAAAAAAAAAATCATTTTTCATCAACTGGTCTGTATATTTGAAAAACACATTGCCTGTAGACCTTTTCCATAAATATCTGACTAAAACAAAAATTTTCTAATTCTCGTAAAAGTATCCAAGATATGGTAAGTCACAAAAAAACTTCTATTTCTGTTAAACTAAAATGTATTGTGAATAATTTTTAGGGATTTTTTTTTAAACAAAGAAATTACAGAGTTGTTAAATTTTAATCTTAGTCGTAAGATTTTTTGTGAAAAGGCCTACTGATGTGTAAACATATACTCACACCTGCAGCACAGCAGGGTGAAATTATTCCTGAGAATTGGAACTCACCTTTAGGGTAATTAAGTGTAAAGGCTGCCACACTTCTGATGGAGGTCCCGAATACTCCCACCTCTCTAGCAGTGACCTAAGAATTGGTACTCACCTGTAGAGTAAATTAAGTGGAGAGGCTGCCACACTTATGGCAGAGGTCCCAACCACTCCCATCTTTCTAGCAGTGACCTGAGAATTAGTACTCACCTATAGGGTAATTAAGTGTAGAGGCTGCCACACTTTTAGTCAAGGTCACGACCTCACTCACCTTTCTAGCAGCAACCCACATACATGGTAATGAACTGTAGAGGAATTCAGAATTATAACCAAGGTCACAACCTCTCCTACTTTCAAACAGTAACTTGGGAATTGGTACTCACTGATAGGGTAATTTAGTGTAGAAGCCGCCTCACTTTGAGTTGAGGTCATGACCTATCCCACTTTTCTAGCACTGACCTTAAAATTTACTAACCTATAGGGTAATTAAGTGTGGATGCCACCACACATATAGCTGAGGTCACAACCTCTCCCACCTCTCTTGCAGTGACCTTAGAATTGGTACTCACCTATAGGGTAATTAAGTGTGGACGCCGCCACACTTATAGCTGAGGTCACGACCTCTCCCACCTTCCTAGCAGTGACCTGAGAATTGCTTTTTGTGCTGTCATTTGAATCTATCAAAAAGTTAAAGAATGATAATTCTCATACAACAAGTTATTATTTGGTGTTGAAACAAATTTATTTTGAAAGTTTTGAAATACAGTTGAACTTCCTTGTCTCAAACACCAATATCTCAAATATCATGGATATGTCGAAGTCACTTGCAAGTTTTAATTACTCTTTTTGTATTTAACTCTTTATATCTCAAATCCTCGAATATTTCAATGTTTTTTCTCGGTCTCATCCAGTTTGAGATAATGAAGTTTGACTGTACATAAATAGTCCCATCTTTATACTTTAAATCTACTATTTTAGCATTTATCATATTAAAGTTAGCCCTTTTTGCGGTGCTTCTCACCTATAATTCACAAACAAGCTACTGTATGATTAGGAGTAACACATATTGTTTTTCAGACACAATTGTGTCATATTGCCCCTAATCAGTAGAAGAGGAAGATTTTGCTATATTTTGAGTTTAATTTATGTACATTTACAGTATGCAGAACATTCACAACATTGAAATTAAAGAACTTACTTATCAAGTGATAAGTAAGTTCTATAACTTCAGTGTTGTATTGAAAAAAAAAAGGTTTCTGTACATATTGTACACCAAGCAGAACTGGTTCACAGAAGATTCATATGTACAAGACTACTGAAACCAGTGTCAGATTTTTATTTAAGTCCTAGCTCTCTGAGCTGAGATCCAACATTGTAGAAAAAAAAAAAATTATGTTTACCTGACCTTCCAGGTGAATATGAGGACTTATTTTTTTTCACACTGGACTAAAAATAGATTGAGAACCTCCAAACTGATAAAAATACAATGTCAGAAGCCACGGATTTTGAGTCCATTGGCATTCAATTTCCACAAACCAATAACTGCCAAATACAAAATTCTCTCGTTCTTGTGAATGAATCACTGAATATTTATTAAATGATGCCAGATTAATCTTGACCAATGATATCATTCTGTGGCAAATTCAGGTTCATTAACATGGAGGCACCCATAATGAAATCATGTTTGCTATGCATGGCATATTTATTGATAAAAATAAGATAGATCCTGATGAACAAAGGCAAGTAAAATATATTCTAAAATACTTACAAAGCTTAACAGTAATAGACAGGAATTCAAATGCAAGTTGATGTATGTTGGTTATACTTCAAGTGTCAGATCATTATTCCATTAGTTGAATGTGTCATTAATATTTAAGGGAATTTTGTAGTAGGCAGCCACGGGTTTGTGGAAGTAGAATGGACAAAAAAGCTGTGGCTTAATACAGAAAGTTCTGAAAAGTTATTTCACTTCCAACAAACTTCCACTCAGGTGTCTCCCCCCTTTTTTTTAAACAATTTTTACTATTAATTAAGTAGTATGAAAATGTTCATTGAAAGGCTGTTCCCCCTCCTTTTGAAACAGCATAGTTAAATCCCTCCAAATATTGATGGACCCTAACACCCAACACCCCCAATAAAATTTGAAATTTAGAGAATTCCCTTTTTTAGGGGGGAGGGGAGATATCAAAGATTTTTTCAGGTAAGTTGTCAATTTTTTTTCCTTCTAATGCCCCCCCCCCCCTTACATAATTTCAAAATTGATGTTATGTGTCTGACATTTTTTTTTTTACATTGCACCTAAATAGATTAAGAAATTCCAAATCAATACAGCTTGTTATGTTTATTTTAACCCCACTTCTCTCACTGCTTTTGGCTAAGACTTCAGCAAATGTAAACAAGTTAAGATGGCATGGATTTCTGAACAAGTTTGTATCATTTAATCAGAAAATAAAACAATAATTGCTTTTTTACAATGATTTAGCCACCTTTGGAATACAAAATTCACCTCACGCTTTCGCGGCTCAGTGAATTTTGTACTCCTCAGGGCTAAATCATCATATTGACTGAAAAACAGCAGCAATTATATATAATTGAACAGAACAATGAATTTACACACCTGACAATTTTTTTCCACCATAACATTTGTCACACACCCTGACGACCATTTCCCCCCAGCCTCGTTCTGGAACTCGTCGCCGTTGAGAACTACAGTCATCACAGAAACCTTTACCACAGGCTCGACAGTGGTGTTTTTGCTCATTCTCTAATTCCTTAGAACACTGGTGGCACTCCTACAATAAACAAAACAAACTACTAATAACAGTTTACTTACCCATAGAACTTTACTGCTGGAGATGTATGACAATAAAGACAGTATGTTTTTTTTTTTGCATACAACATGACAAAGCAACTGAAATACTTACAGAAATTTGTGAATTTGGAACCCAGTACTCAGGAGCGATACGATCATTCATCCAATCAGAGATCACCTTTGTAGGTTTAGATCCCACACTAGTTATGGAGTCTGCTATATAATGGAAACTATCAATCACTTTGCGAGCAGCATTGTTGGTTCCTTGTAACATCTTACAACCCTGCAATCCAAAAGAACACTTTACTGATTCCTATATTCTGGATTTCAAATCAAATTTTTAAACCTTTTTAAAAGTTCCTCCAAAGATGTCTTTTCCATATTCTGGAATAATGGTCTTGAATTTGATTAAAAAGGACAACATAAAATTGTGCATGTAGCAAATTGTCTATGACATTTTATTTAAGACATTGGATACTCACAAACTTATGTTATAAAAATCTGTTAAACAGTTTGTGAGGGCTTAATTATCACTAAAACACATATTTATCACACCAGCCTTATTTCTTATACTTCCCAAAATCTATATTTTTATATTTATATTGAAATTCAATGCATAAATATGAAGATTCATATACATGTACATTAAAAAAACTGCCACAACACTACCCAATATTCCTAAAAAATATGCCACAACACTAACCAATATTCCTTATAAAATACCACAATATAATACCCAGTATTCCTTAAAAACTGCCACAATACTATTAAACCAGTATTTCTTAAAAACTACTACAATACATGTACTACCCAGCATTCCTTAAAAACTGCCACAATACTACCCAGTATTCCTTAAAACTGCCACAATACTACCCAGTATTCCTTAAAACTGCCACAATACTACCCAGTATTCCTTAAAAACTGTCACAATACTATCCAGTATTTCTTAAAAACTGCAACAATACTACACAGTATTTCTTAAAAACTGCCACAAATCTACCCAGTATTCCCTGGAAACATCAGAAGAAGGAACTTACATCAGGCCATACATGGCGTATCTCAGTATGAACTATTTCCTCCACGTCTTTATTGCCATACCAGTTCTGACGACTTCGAAATATCACTCCACAACTCGGACACTCCAATACTTCCCTGTAAGAAAAATATTACAATAATACAATGATTAAATAAAAATTCTTCATACAAGTATATTCAGTGGTCCTTATAGGATCAATACCCCCCTCCCCCTAATCAAAGCAAGCATCTAATTAACTATCAACATTTGTACCATATCACCAAGTTTGGTTTGGAAACCACTTGATATAAATCAGAAAAGAATCTAAATCTTGACTTTGTTCTACAGACAAACAGCTAGATAGATGGATGGATGGACACAGTGATTCCCATATACCCCCTACAACTTTGTTACCAGAGAGAGGGGGTAAAATGTCCCCTTCCACATGCTTTGGATGAATACATTTATTCAACCCTTATATACATGTATTTGATGGAGAACCAAACAGATACTTCATCCTCATGTATACAATGATTAAAAACTACTTACACCAAACACCTCAATGTTGTATTTTATGCAGCTGAATTGCTTATTCTAAACATGCAAATTAAATTAAGCTGAAACACGAACTCTACCAAAATGAAGTTGTTGAGACTGAACCATTTTCCCCATCTACATCATTTGATGTTGTTGAATGAATTAAATTGTAGATTCCTGGTAATGAGAAACCACTCACTTGTATTTGATTAAGTTAAACAACTTATCTTGCCCACATGTATTTGATGAGTCTGAATCACTTGGTTTGAACTACTAACTCTGTCTATAATTATTTAGTATACTGCACCACTTACCCTGCCCACATGTATTTGATGAGCCCACTCCATGCACTGTCTCGTGATTCTGATGTTTTTGGTATGACAACATGCTCTTTCCCAGACAAGTAACAGGACTGAAACAGAGAGATTTTAAGTAAAGCAAGCTTTTAACTGGAAAAAGTGTGCATGATTTTCAAGTATGGAAATAATGATAATCTTAAATTGCTACAAATAAACTTAAATTGAAAGAGTATAAAAAAAATTAGAGGCTGAGTTGACTTCCTCAAGTATCATTCAACTTCTTTTACTCGCTAAGAAGCTTCAGTGTTGATTTTTTTTCTGTTCTTTTCTTACATAAATAGACTTTGTTCTCAAACTGATTCTGTGTGTCTGTTTCATGAGACAATAAGATCTTACCTTACATAAATAGACTTTGTTTTCAAACTGATGCTGATATTTACATCGCTTGTCAGTTTCATGGGGTTCAGTGTCTGTATCATGGTTCATACTCCTTGTACAACCCTCCCTAATATATATAAAACAAGCAAATAAATTATGATATAAATTTACAACAATACTTTTTAAAAACTTCACCTAATGAAAGAAAAAATGACCAAGCTCACATACCCCATGCCCTCCCCCCCCCCCCCCCCCCAACTTGACAATGCAACACATAATGAATGGTAAGGTGCACTTTAAATACACAGTATAATTCAAAAAGGGGCATTACTTGCAAAAAAATCATCAGGTCAAAACTTCTTGCATATAAGGATATTCAAATCTTTGTCTGTTACAAATTTAATTGGGCTCAAGTTTCTAGATAAATAATGGAATCAAGTTTTCTTGGTAATATACAAATCTGCACATTATGTCTGAAATACCTACTACAATGTTTCAGGAAATTCAGTGCAGGAGTTATGCTGACAAACTGTTCATTTCCTCAGTGATTTTGATTTGTTAATGGGTATCAGTCAATGTCCAACGTATGACAATTATTGATGGAAGCAAAATTATGATGTAGTCATATAAATTGGGGGGGGGGGGGGGGGGGAGAACTTTTTGTGTACTTCTCTCCAAGATTTTTTGTGTGTGTGTGTTGAATCATCAACATTCTGATCTCAAAATCAATAGGGGTCTTTTAAGGTAATAAAATATTTCACATAAAATTTCATTACAAAAATTGATTACACTGGATTTACTTATTACCTAACTGGAAAGTTTCTTCAATAATAGCCAAAACTCTAAGAGCAAAAATAAAGGAATCAGAATTTCCTGGCAATATGCACATCTACACACTGTGTCCTAAATATCTGCAAAGTTTGACGAAATTCTGTGCAGTGGTTTAAGAGGAGTTGCGCTGACAAAAAAAACTGGACTGATGGACTCACTGATCAGTGATGGATGGGTCAAAAACATTCTACCCCCCCCCCCCCCCACAACATGTAGCGTGGGTTATAGTAACCCTCAACAATTCCTAAGGAAAAATCTTTTTCTATCATATCATAAAAAGAATTCCAGCTCTGTCAAAGTCATTTGTAATAATACCTTGCTACCAGAAATATACTGACATTTTTCTGAACAAGGATTCTTTCTCCACATTTTACGACAGTTTAGAAGTGTACTAACCCACATGACAGACATTTCATGGAACAGGAAAACAGCTGATCAGGGAATGTCCCATATGCTGGCTTCTCCACCTCCCCATTAAACTTTTCATTCAGGTTCTATATTGCAAAATTACAAGAAAAATCATCAAATGTAATTTTTTTCAAATAAGTCAAATACAAGACCTTTTACAATCAATATATCCCTCAAGTTTGTAAATGAAATCTGTTTTGGAATTAAATATGAGCCCTCAGCTTTATAAGCAAGGACCAACCTAGGGGGTGACTGAGGCAAAATAGTTGCTTTTGAGCTCCAAACTTCGCCATAAATTATCACGAAAGAGAAGTTTACGTCACCTTAATATTTGCAACCCCTTTATTGAAAATCATAAAAAATCTATTAAGAAATGTGGCAGTATCATCACTATTTTATAAATCTGGTGTTATTACTACTGAAACAAGTGAAACAGCAGGGCACTTGCACCTGTTTTGCTACTAATGACCAATGCATCGAATACTCTGTCGATTTTACGCTTCCGTGTATGAAAAAGTCCACTGTTTCAAGTTATACACAACAAGACGCAAAACAGCTCGACAGCTATCGATGTCATGCCAAAGATGTTGGAGATAATTTTAGATCTTTTTATTGTCAAATAATTAATAAATAAATGCTTTGAATACAGACATATTTTTACTGTTAAATTGTAGAGTTATTAACTGTCTAAGAAATTACACATGTCTGATAAACATAAGTAGTTCAATCAGCATGCAGTAGTGCACCAAAACTTTTTTTAGAGAAAGAATTGAATATTGAAAACGAATTTTGAAGAGAAAATAACAAAATTATGACTATGCCAAGAGCCTGAAAATCTAACCCTGAGAGGAGAGAAAAACGTGTGAATCATTTAAAAGTTAATTGTGCATACTATTATGCAAGAAATGAAAAAAAGTTTGATAAACAAGTTTATCAATTAGAAACTTTTACATTGTCATTGTTTTATATATTTTGCTAGATATTTAGATACCTTGTAATTGGAAAAATATAAAAATTTTTTTTAAAGAATATTTTTAATTATTTTTACTTTTACTATTATTATGTTCCCCAAACGAAGTTTGGGAACATATTGTTTTTACTCTGTTTCTTATTATTATTATGTTCCCCAAACGAAGTTTGGGAACATATTGTTTTTACTCGGTTTCTTATTATTATTATTAAGGTCTTCCGTCTTCACGGAAGACCTTATAGTGATTCTACTGTTTCTTATTATTATTATTATTCTTATTTTTTTTCCTAAATTTTGTGCACGCGATTTCTCAGCAACTATTCAGTGGTTTTCAATGAAATTTTCAGGAATAATGCGCATCTGTGGGAACTTGATACATCTTGGAGGAATTTTGAAAATTGGCTTCCGGTGCCAAGTTATGGACAATTTTCTGATTTTAAAATGCAATTTTGTCGCCCCTTTTTCTCAAAAATGGCTAAAGATATGAACTGGAGACTTGTTGGAGACGATAGAGCATGACTTATAAGTGAACAGAATCACCTTTTCGTTTGTCGTCAGCACTTCCGGTCGCTTACGGAAGTGATCAAAGAAATCATAAAATTTCAACTTTCTTTTTTTAAATCAATACTTATAACATATTATTGCATAGATCTCTTTTGTAGTTTCGAAATATGTTGGTCCCACCGGAAACAAAAACGTCAACTTCCGGTTATAAGAGAAAAACTACATAATTTGAGTATTTTTCTTTCCCAATAATATCTTTTGTAGATAAAGTATTTGAAATGAATTTTAAATATGTTATTCAGACTGCAAATGTCTAGAGTAACCTCAAATATCTTTGTAAAATTCACTTCCGGTCGCGCGTTTTTCTGTCCTCAAATGGAGAAGTTGTCTGAGCAAGATCTCGGAAACGGTAAGAGATTAAGGCACCAAACTTATATGAGCAGCAGACCTTAAGATGTAGGCAAAACCATTTGGGTTCAAAGCGTCAGCCGTCACTTCCTTTCGTCACAGGAAGTGATCAAAGAAATCGAAAATTTCAATTTTTCTTTTTTTAATTAAAAATTGCATCACTTTATTGCATCTTTTTCGCAGATTTAAAAGATATTGGTCCCACCGGAAACAAAAACGACAACTTCCGGTTATAAGAGAAAAACTACATAATTTGAGTATTTGTCTTTCCCATAAATATTCTTTATAGATTTAGTTTTTGAAATGAATTTTAATTATGTTATTCAGAGTGCAAATGTCTAGAGTAGCCATAAATATATTTCAAAAATTCACTTCCGGTCGCGTGTTTTCCTGTCCTTAAAATGAGAAGATTTCTGCACGAGATCTCAAAAAAGGTAAAAGATTAAAACACCAAACTTTTATGAGTAATAGACCTTGAGGAGTAGGCAAAACCATATGGGTTAAACGCGTCAGTCGTCACTTCCACTTGCTACAGAAAGTGATCAAAGAAATCAAAAAATTTAACTTTTCTTTTTTAAATTAAAACTTGCATCACTTTATTGCATCTCTTTCGCTGTTATGAAATATGTATGATTCAACCGGAAACAAAAACGTCAACTTCCGGTTTTAGGAGATAAACTACGTTATTTTTATATTTAACTTTCTCATAAATATTACTTATCGATAAAGTGCTTGAATTAATTTTATGTATGTTGTAGATACTGCAAATGTCTAGAGAAAAGTCAGAGATTTTCATAAAATTCACTTCCGGTCGCGTGTTTACCTGTCCTCAAAATTAGAATTCGTTCTCACAATATTGCTCGGCAACAATGAAGGACTGAAGTCTAAAACTTTCAGGACTGGTAGTCAGTTATCAGTTTATTTGAATCGTGAGATAATCTTGTATCGCCGTTACTTCCAATCGTGACAGGAAGTGATGCAAAAAGATGAATGGTGAATGGTTAGCACGTTGGATTTTTTCACTGACGACCAGGGTTAAATCTTCAGAGTGTCTGAATTTCTTTTATCACTTTTTCAGCTTGAAGTTTCGTTTTTTTTTTTTCAGAATCGGACGGAAGACCTCTCATTGCTTGCAATGAGTTTCTAGTTAAGGTCTTCCGTCTTCACGGAAGACCTTATAGTGATTCTACTGTTTCTTATTATTATTATTATTATTATTATTATTTTTCATTTTTATTTTTCTGACCTTTTCAAATCGCGATATCTCAAAAACTACTCAATCATTTTCAGCCAAATTTTCAGGAATGATGTGTTATCTCATGCCATTTTGAAATATTGAAAAAGTTTGGAAAAATTCACTTCCGGTCACGAATTATTACGATTTTTCACTTTTTCCACTAAAAATCTAGTCCGTGAATGTTCTCGGAAACTGTTAAAAGTAGGAGTCTGAAACTTTCAGGTATGATAGAAGGTGATTTGTAGATGTGTGATGGAAACATTTCGTGTGTCGTCACCACTTCCGGTCGTCACAGGAAGTGATTTAAAAAGGGTAGTTTTTTGAACTTTTTTCTTTTTCATTATTTTTTTATGATATTTATAGGTTAAATAGAGAATCTTATCAGAATGCTAAATATATAATTTATTCAAAATAGATTAATCCGTACTCTAGATATTTATGCTTGCTACTTTGATACGATGGTCTTTGATGGCGTAATGGTAAGCATGTTGAATTTTCACGCGGGCAACTCGTATTCAATCCCCAGAATGTCCAAATTTGTTCACACTATTGTTTGGGCTCAAATGTAATATTTTATTTATATTTAAAGGGGGGGGGGGGGCTATGTCGTTCAACGTCAGAGCAATGGTGTTTGACTTCACAATGGCACTGTGTCTTTTTACTCCTTCATAAAGAGTTTGCAGTTAAATTTTGCACTATTCAATCCCAAGAATGTCCAATTTTTTTCACACTGTTGTTTGGGCTCAAATGTAATATTTTATCTTTAAGTGGGGGGGGGGGGGGGGGGGGGGCTATGTCGTTCAACGTCAGAGCAATGGTGTTTGACTTCACAATGGTACTGTGTCTTTTTACTCCTTCATAAAGAGTTTGCAGTTGAATTTTGCACTAATTAATGTGCATATGTGTGTGATATGACAAAATAAGGTAAAGATGTTAATGTAGCTAGGTACCTATGCAATTGAATCACAAATCGGAGATTTGTCAAATTATATTTTGAAAGTAGAATTTATTATTTTCTCATCTTGATTAAATAAAAATAGCAATTTCAAATGAGAGGTAACTTCAATGACATTTAGTTTAGAGCAAGATCCGCCATAATTAAGAGCTCAAAGCGACTTAGCGGATAAAGGTATGGTTAATTAATGGAATACAGTGTATTAACACAATGAAACACATAAAAATCTGTATACTTGAAACAGTATGTGAAAAAATATGCTTTCACGTGAAGTGTCAATCATTTTGTTATGCGTGTGTGGTGCTGACTCAGGGAGGGGGGGGGGGGGGGGGGGGGTAACCTGAAATGCATGAAATCGGGTAAAATAAAACAAAATAGTGTAGATACATGTAGGTCTTAAATTAAAAAAAATATTTAACATAATTTTGTATTTTGTACAATTAAGTGTGAGAATCTCAAAGTTTAAAAAAAATCACACAAAGATGTTTTGGAACATAGGTCCTCCCCCCTCCCTAAAATTATATTTCGTATTTTTTTTCGTTCCAGATTTGCAATATTTTCAAAATATAAACGTTTAATTATATTTTATGTATGATTGATTGATTGATTGTATGTTGTTTTAAGTCCCATTCGAGAATTTTTCACTCATATAGAGACGTGACCACCGCGGTGAAGGGCTTCAAATTTAAACTTTTACTCGGCACTCAGGGCCATTGAGCAATGAGGGATCTTTATCTGTGCCAACACCAGCCTTGACACGTGGCCTCGGTTTTTAAGGTCTCATCCAAAATATCCGCAACTTTCACTTCAAAGTGCCGAGCGCATGGCGAAGGAATTTTGTATGAAGGTGTGACAGGGAATGCACAACATAACATGTTGTTTAAAGAGGAATCAACTTCTATGAAGACAGAGAAGGGACGGAAGACCTTCTTGTTGCCATGGCAACAAGGTTTCTAGTTATTAAGGTCTTTCGTTTCAGACGGAAGACCTTATAGTGATTCTACTGTTTATTATTATTATTATTTTTTTCCCGTTTTTTGTTCAAGCGATTTCTCAGAGATGGCTCAATGGATTTTCTTGAAACTTTCAGGGATTATGAAAATTAAAATAAACTAAAAACATTTTTAAGGATTTTGCAAAATTCACTTCCGGTCGTCAGATATGTCCAATTTCCGTTTTTTCAAAAGAGATCATGTCCGGACGATATCTCAGAAACGGTAAAAGATTAAGACCTCAAACTTTCAGGGATTATAGATCATGACAAGTATGTTTGCAGAATATGTTTAAATCTGTCAGCCGTCACTTCCGGTCGTCACAGGAAGAGATCAAAGAAATCAAAAATTTCAACTTTCCTTTTTTGATTTTTTTCTTTCATCACATTGTTGCATCTTATTTGTAGATTCGAAATATGTTGGTCCCACTGGAAACAAAAACGTCAACTTCCGGCTATAAGCGAAAAACTGCATAATTTGAGTATTTTACTTTCCCATAAATATATTTTATATATAACGTATTTGAACTGATTTTTGAATATGTTATCAAGACTGCAAATGTCTAGAGTAACGTCAAATATCTTGGTAAAATTCACTTCCGGTCGAGCGATTAAATGTCCGCAAAATGAGAACTTGTCCGAGTGAGATCTCAGAAATTGTAAGAGATATAGACACCACACTTTTAGGAGTATTAGACCTTGAGGAGTAGACAAAACCATTTGGGTTAAGAGCGTCAGTCGTCACTTCCGGTCGTCACAGGAAGTGATCAAAGAAATCAAAAATTTCAACTTTTCTCTTTTGGAATAAGACTTGCATCATATAAATGTATCTTTTTCACAGTTACGATATGTGTTGGTTCCACCGGAAACAAAAAACGACAACTTCCGGTTATAAGAGAAAAACTACATAATAGGGGTTTTGAATTTTCCCCAACATATCGCTTATAGATAGTGTTCTTTTAATGATTTTTATATATGTTATTGAGACTGCATATGTCTAGAGTGACGTGAAATATCTTAGTAAAGTTCACTTCCGTGTTTTCTTGTCCCCAAAATGAAAAGTTTTTTCAGCGATATCTCGGAAACGGCATGAAAGTAAGACACTAAACTTATAGGAGTAATAAAACTTGGTGAGAAGGCAAAACACATAGGGTTAAAAGCGTCAGCCGTCACTTCTGGTCATCACAGGAAGTGATCGAAGAAATCGAAAATTTCAACTTTTCTTTTTAAAATTAAAACTTTCCTCACTTTCTTGCTTCCCTTTCGCTGTTTTGAAAAATGTTAGATTCCACCGGAAAAGAACTTTAAACTTCCGGTTTTAGGAGATAAACTACGTTATTTCGTGGTTTAACTTTCTCATAAATATCACTTATAGATACGAGTAAGTATTTGAAATGTTTTTTACACATGCTGTAGATACTGGAAAAGTCAAGAGAAAATTCAGAGATTTTTATTCAGTTCACTTCCGGTCGTGTGTTTTCCTGTCCTCAAAATTTGAATTTTTTCCCACAATTGTTCGGCAACAGTAAAAGACTGAAGTCTAAAACTTTCAGGACTTATAGTCAGTCATCAGTTCATTTGCTTCGTGTAAAAATCGTGTGTCGTCATTACTTCCGGTCGTGACAGGAAACGAAGCAAAAAAGTATTTTTTTAAGTTATTTTGTTTTTACATAAGTTTCAGGCCAATATCGACGTTGGAAAAGACATGTTCATGCAAACAGGAAGTGGTATAACGGAAGACCTTCTCATTACTAGTAATGAGTTTCTAGTTATTATTATTATTCTTTTTAATTCTTATTTCTTCTCCGGTACTTTTTTGTCCGCGAGTGTTCTCGGAAACTGCACATCCAATTGAGTTAAAACCTTTTTAGTGTTACTAGGTATGTTATGTAGATTTGCGGAACGAAGGTCATTTTGCGCGCACGTGCACGCACGTGCGTGCGCGTGCAATGCGTAAAATGACCAATATACATGATATAGCTGTAACTTTTATATTTTTTGATGAAATGCTTTGATACTCAGAATTTAAGGATATATTAAAAGTGTAGACAAGTTGACATGGTCAACATGCACATGCACGCACGTGCGCGCACGCACAAATCGTAAAATGACCAATTTACTTGATATAGTCGTAACTTTTATATTTTTTGATGAAATGATTTGATACTCAAAATATTTATATATATTAAAAGTGTAGACAAGATGACATGGTAATCATGCACATGCATGCATATGCATGCACGTGCGCGCGCGTGCAATGTGTTAAATGACCAATATATTTAATATAGTCGTAATTTTTATATTTTTTGATGAAAAGCTTTGATATTAAGAATATACAGATATATTAAAAGTGTAGACAAGATGATGTGGACATCATGCACATGCGCGCGCGTGCAATGTGTTAAATAACCAATATACTTAATATAGCCGTAACTTTTATATTTTTTGATGAAAAGCTTTGATACTAAGAATAAACAGACATATTATAAGTGTAGACAAGTGGCATGGTCATTATGAACATGCATGCTGGTGCGCGTGTGCGCAATGCTAAGATGACCAGTATACTTGTATACTTGATATAGCCGGAACTTATATATTTTTGATAAAATGTTTTGATACTGAGAATATAAAGATACATTAATAGAATAGATGGGATGACATGGTCATACTGCACATGCATACACGTGCGCGCGCGTAAAATGCAAAAAACGACAAATATACTTCATTGCCTTATTTAATGAAGCTTACAGGAAATAAGACACCAAAAGGGAGTTGGGGAGCGTTTGGGGAACATCTGTAACGGTCCCCGTTACAATTATAACTAGTTATTATTATCATTATTCTTTTTTTCTACTTTCTTCTCCGGTACTTTTTTGTCCGGGAGTGTTCTCATAGAACCACTCATCCGATTGACATGAAACCTTTTTAGAGTTAATAGGCATGTTGTGTAGGTGTTCGGAACGAAGGTCATTTTGCGCGCACATGCATGCATGTGCGCGCGCGTGAAATGACTGACATACTTGATGAAGCCGTAACTTTTATATTTCTTGATGAATTGCTTTGAAACTCAAAATATAAAGATATATTAGTAGTCTAGACAAGATAACATGGTCAAATTAGCGTGAACTCACGCACATGCACGTGCGCTCTTCTCTGATTGGCTGATACAAAGATCTCAATAATTTCCTTGTTTTTTGACAAAATACTTTGAAATTTAGAATATAAGTATATATTATAAGGTGCTACAACATGTTATATAGGAAATTTCTTGAAAACACGTGCATGCAGGTGTGCTGCAATCTGATTGGTTGAAACTTTAAATGTCTATAACTCCCTTGGTTTTCAACAAAACAGGATGAAATTTACGACATGGATAGGCACATAGAGCTCCTACATTATGATACTATCAAAATTGAATACAAGGCCATGCATGCGCGTATGCTGAATTCTGATTGGCTAATACTTAAAGGGGTACATCTCTCTTATTTTTGAATGAGATTCTTTAATATTTAACACAAATGTATGTATTGTGAGACACTATAAGAAATTTAATGTGAAAAATGTTGAAAACATGTGCAAGCATATGCGCTGAAATATGATTGGTTAATACCCATATGGCTATATCGGAGTAGTTTTCCAATGAAATACCCTTAAAAATAAAGTGTCCATCTATATTACAAAAGTATTGTCTAATTTATTGAAGCTTGTAGGGAATGGGGCATCATAAGGGATTGGGGAGCCGTTTGGGGAACATCTGTAACGGTTCCCGTTACAATTAGCACTAGTTTTTATTTTGTTTAAATATTACAGAAAAAAATATTGAAATGTATTTAAGTAAAAAAAACAATGAAATTTTTTATTTTTAAAAAGTTTAATAATGATCACTGTGCGCCACGCACGCCAAAAAGTCTCCCTAGAATTCAAAACTTCTCCCTACATTTCTCTGAGGGAGAAGTGAAGTCTCCCTAAATTTTGGGTCTAGGTTGGTCCCTGATAAGACTGTTATCTTTCATTATATTAGATGTTGAGCAGAATTTTAATCTAAATTTATATATAACTACCATTTTCCAACAATTAAGTTTATATATATATATTTTTTTTTTTTATAAAAAATAGAATCTAACATTTTTCCCCCTCAGATGATATACTGTATATAGGGAAATTTTCACCTCCATTGTATTTTCACCCCTTTCCCCCTCAACACAAGTGAGCAAATTTAGGACGGTGAGAATTCCTAGATGACAGTATTACTTCTTAAACAGAACTGTGACTGAGCGAATTTAAAATGGTGTAGAATTGTTTCAAAGTGTGAAAGGGTGAAAATAACACAGAGCGAAAATAACCCTGTATACAGTACTAGATATACAAACCTTGAGAGTTTTGAAGACAATTGCTGGTTTTCGTGCTGCACGATTTGTCTTGTCTGATAAGTGCTGAGACATGACAGTCTGGAACCTGGAGAAATCTGTGGGGGGTCTCTCTGTTCGTACCCCTACATAGGTCAGGTCCTTAAAATGCATAGTACACTCTAGTTGACGGAATGTATTCCATATAAACTTCTCAGCAGAGTCTGTACCTAAAAAGAGCAAAAAGGAGTATTACAAGATATAAATATGGCATGTAGTTGTGAGGGTAACAGTGAAAATTTTCATCCCAAGAAAACCAGCTGAGGTGCAGCCAAGAATGACAATGGTTTTTGAGGGGTGAAAAATCCTCAATCTTACCCTCAACTACGTACAGTATTTATTATGTTATACTGAATGCTTTATACAAATAAAGGTGAAGTGTGCAAATATATTCCTCACAGTCAATATATGTTTTTTTGTTTTTGTTTTTTTTTTTTGAATATCACCCTTTGTCAAGCAATCTTGACTGTTGCTAAGTTCTACTGCACAAGTGATTTACATGAAAGTATAATATTAAAAATTCAATGCACATTGCATACTTTATATAATGTCATAAAAATAACATTTATTTTGCTCTTCTTTAATAAATCTTCCAACTTGTCAGACAAAAACATAGATATACACTGATGGTATGGAGCTTGTTTATTGCTATATTTAATATTTCAGGGATGAAATAATGAGTGGATAAAAAAATTGGCTGAATGTAAGAATAACAGTTGAATGTAAATTTGTAAACATTCTCTTTAATTCGTGCATAGTTTTAACTGTTATTATGTGATTTTTGAAGTACTTAATCCAAGGTGAAGATTTCTGTGAAATATGATATAACTTGTCAATAAAACAGATAGATTAAAATAGAAATCTTATCTAGTCTACAATCCAATACAAGTAATGTAAGAATAGTAGTACCTGAGTTAGTTAGAACATTTGTGTTCACAGTTTCCTGGAATATAATGACAGCAGGTGTCAGATCGCCCACACATTTGTTACATCTTCTTGCGGTGGCTTCTAGCTCCTCTGAGAAATGTTTTGTATAGGCTGAAGAAGACTCACACAAAAACTGATACATATCATTGTGCAATCGTTCTGCTCTGGACCTATAAATTATGATATCAGATATTCCTAGAACCTTCAGCAGTAAGCGCATTCTCTGATTCTGATTGGATGTAATTCCTAAGAGACCCTCTGTGTCTATGACAATGACCTTTTCCTTGGGATCAAATGCTGCCCAAACTCCTACAGTGCATGAAGACTGGTGTGAAGAGGTCTTAAAAATTTCTTTACCACCAAAGAATGTGTGGTTCAGTGTGAATGATTTGCCATCTCCTGTGTTGCCAAATATAGACACAACTTTAACAAGTTCATTGTTGTCACATCCAAGACGCTGGGCAAACTCTTCCTCATCCTCTATCTGTAAAATTAAAATCAATAAAAATTTGAAGAAATAAGGAATTTCCAGATTTTTATGCAACTACCTGGTATATTTCTTTAGAAATGCTTTTTCCAAAATTATGCAGATGTACTTATTTGAACAATATTGACTCCTCTGAGTACAATGACTTGAGTACAGTGATCAAGGGTAAGGTCTGCATTATAGTACATCATAGTCTACCTTAAAACTCTAAGAGAATGGAAGTTCTTAATGGAAATTAATGCATAACAGTTTTAAACATAGGTAATCAGAGATTACAGAGCTCACCTCAACGAATGTTGTCTTTAAGTAAGGCAAAGTCTCACACTAAACTAATAATCTAGTAGTGTGCATCCCTAGATGCAACATTTATGCAATTTTGGTCTGATATGGCTTGCTGCTTGGGAATGGACTTACCTAAAAACTTAAAACTAGTCACTCATCCAGAAAATGCAAGTCAAATCCAGCATCTGAAGCAAGTTTGAGAGTGTTCATCCCTTGATGCATCATCCATGAAAGTTTGGTTCAGATAGGCCTTATAGTTAATTGGAAATGAGATCTGCTCCAAAAACTTAAACCTGGTCACTTTTACGGAAAATGTAAGTCAGATCCTGCATCTGAAGCAAGTCCAGTAGTGTGCATCCTTAGGTGTATCATCCATGCAAGTTTGGTCAATATAGGGCTTATAGTTACTTGGAAATGAGACCTGCTCCAAAAACTTCAACCTGCACCAAACCCTTAACCTGCTTCAAAAACATTAACCTGGTCATTCTTTAGCTGAAACTGCAGCATCTGAAACTTTGACAGGTACAATGAAACACACTAGAAGCATCCTCCATGCATCTCTGATTGATATATAGGGCATAGAAGTACTTAAAAAGAAAACTGCTCCAAAAACTTTAACCTGGGACGCCGACGCCGAGGGTATTACATAAGCTCCCCCAACTTCGTTGAGGTGAGCTAATAAAAATGATAATAATTTATATGATAATAATTAATTTATTTCAAATAGGGTTGGGTGGTTTGGTATTCCAAAAAAAAAAATCATGACTGGCCATATAAATACTAAATTATTAAAATGAGATGTGCTATTAATTCTGCCAAATGAAGAATGGCTTGATACCCTTGTTTTAAACACTTGCAGTTACCTAGTAAATATTTTTAGATAAGTCAAGTTGCTCAAATACAACAAACAGATGAATTTTCTCTCAATATGTTGAGCTACACAGGCAATCTCTAGTTCTTATTATAGTAATAATAGGGCCAAAAAAATTCTCATATAATCAATACTGTAAATGTATAATAGAGAATTATTATAAATGGATAATACTGTCTCTCTTTGCGTTGCCTGTAAAACATGGTAAACACAAAGTGATAACTTTGTCTCCATCCATTTGTTTGTATGAACAATTTTGATTCTAAAAAAAGTACCGTTGAACTTCGGTATCTTGAACACCAATATCTCGAATACTTTGGATATGTTGAAGTGATTTGGAAGTCCCAACCACTTATTCTTTAAGTATTTTACTCTTGATATCTCAAATCCACAGATATCTCTAAGTTTTTTCTCAACCCCATTCAGTTCACTTCTAAAACTCTTGAGGTTTGACTGTATATACAAAAACTTCAAAGAAAAATATATAAAAAATTGAAACTTGACTGACACGTAATGTATCAAATTGGAAGTTATTTACAGAAAAAACTGTCTAATCTGACACCAGTGCAATCTGTTTCACTGTGTGTTCCGACCTTTTTTTTCATCCTTTCTTTATTATTTTCCATGTTTTTTACACTGTGCAATCTGACACACTGTCTATTCTTACATGAAATTTGTGTCCAAGTGCATGTCGGATTAGACAGGTTTCACTGTTTATCATAAATACAATCTTATCTCATGAATACCTGTATGACTTCTTGATCATTTATCAACATGAAGCTCTTGATGTTGTCATAAGGATCATTTAGATCTATAATGCTCTCAGCAAGCTGAGCTTCAATGTTGGACATTTCACTCCCTGCTGATAAACAAATATCTGGAATGCTACTTGGTTGACTATGATCGGATTTAGCACTGCTAAATGAGTTCATGCTTTCGTTCTGAGTATTGGCATGTGATTCCAATTCAGAAATTTCTGTCTGCTGTGAACTAAAATCAGGGTACTGATCTTGCAATTGCGGACATGACATAAATGTTAAACTGTCATCTGCCCCCTGTAATGGACTAGAAGGTTTAATGTGATGGTTCAGTTGGTCTTGTAGTTGTCTTTGTCTGAACTCCTTGAAAAAGATTTTTTTGTGAGTTTTTCTGCTGCCTTTGTGATAATAATCAAAACAAATGAAGCAGAAATTTAAGGCACACACTTCACATCTCAAATCTGCAAAATTATCTTCTTCACAGACGAGCAAATTTTGAGCTTTAGCAATCTGACATAAATCTTCGAAAGGAGGCGGTTCTATCTTTCTTCTATCGTGAAATTCAAATTTGACACTTATTTTGTGTATCGCTTCGTCGCATTCAATACATTGGTCTGTGTCACATTCCTCGCAATAATATTGGGCCTCTGTATTTTCAGTTTTACAGCAAAATTTTTCCTTACAGAATCGTTTTGACGATCTTGTTCGTGAATTTCTCTTCAACACAGCTGCCATACTTGTGTGTCATTTTCCCTGTTTCAAATGTATCCAAAATAATAAAATGTTTTTGTTTCTCTCATGTCAAATTGACAAATCTGTGAGAATGAATGCGATTTCTTCACTTCCGTATTTACATCCTGATTATTCAGACGCTTGTAGTGCTAAATGCAATCTGACCCATTTCTTTCAAACCTACAAGAGATGTTAGGTCGTACGACCTTCGCTATGGATTGTGGGTAAAAAGAGATATTTTGCGCTGCCAAAGAGTGTCCATGTTTTCAAATTGACTCTTACAAACCTGATTACTATGTCTAAACGAAAGAAGACGACTGCTCTGATTGATTCAGACAGTGACGATAGTGAAAGTGGCTCAAACCTTGACGAAGTAGGTTGAGCCTGTTGTTTTACATGCATTGTTGAATTGTGGATTAATATTTTAACACAGCATAGGCCTATACATTTTATATCAGTTCAGTATTATAAATAGAAAGGAAAAATAGAAAGATAAACAATTTTGCAAAACAATATCCAATTCCCCCCAGTTTTGATACATAAAACATTACTGTTCATGTTTTTACACATCTTCCCAATACTCTTACAGAATATTATATTTATTAATTACTCCATGAAAGCCCACTCATTTTTCTTTGCATACTAGCAAGATAATTTTTAAGACATTCACTGAATTAGTCATATTGGATCCCCGTCATATTAATTATAATTTAAGAATGAACGAAAAATTTTTGAGGATAATCAACACCGTTCATTAATATCTCTTATTTATTGCTATCACACTGAATGAAATAAGTAAACAGCTGGTAAAAGACAAAATGATAATGTGTAAAGGTAACCTGACTCTCATTTAAAAAGAATATTGATTATAGTTATAATACCCAAACTAGTAAACTTTTCCTTTTGACCAGCATGATGCATATACATTCATTTTAGAGTGAAATGAATTAGGGAAAAATTTTATTCCAAAAGTATCTAATCTTTGCAAGCATGCAAGCTTATGTAAAATGAATGTATATCTTAAGACATTTGAAATGTACATAGGTTTTATGGACTAAAACAGTAAAATATGCTTTTAGCAAACATGCTTTCAATGAATTCATGCTTATAGTGAAGTGATTTTCATTCCCCTTGGTTTTAAATATGTATTGTGAACCTGACAGACATAACAAATTATATGAGGTTTTGAGCTTTTTTTTTGCCCCAGTATGAGGTTTTGAGCCTTTTTGGTCCCAAAATCAAATTCTACGGATAAAAGTTTAGTTTAAAACTTGGATTTTAAACGAAGTTTTAAACCTCATTCTCTTAAAACATTCAATAAATGTTGTTTATTCAGTGAAAAACTGACAAAAATGATAGTTAATGAAGTGCATTCGGCGCATGCTCAGTGCCTTTCGTTCGTACTTAGGCATTTTTTCATGGTAAACTAATCAACGAGATGTCGTTGATACTGAAAGATCTAGCAAAAAAACACAGATGCAGCTGTCTTTCGTAATTAATCTAAAAGAACAAGACACTACCCCAAATCTCCCAGGCTGATGCTAGACTTACCATAATCAGTCAAATAGTGTGTGAGTACTAACCCAAATCTCTTGAATTGATGTGAGACTAACCCTAATCAGTCGAATACTTCTGTAATGACTACTATAGATTCCTAAATATATGCGAGTAATTAATTATTGCGTAATTTTGCGAGAAGCAGTGCTCGCAAAATGAAATTACCTGCTTTTAATTTTATGGTGCAAAAGTCCATTTAAAATCTCTTGATCAACTGTCCAGTCGTGAATTACTGTTCTCGCGATTTGACATCTAAGAGCCATTTATATAATAGTGTTGTACTTTGCATGCACTATGCCTAAATAGTAGTCAGGGTTTGACACATGGTGCACGAGTCGGAGGCAAGTGCACTATGTGTCAAACCCTGACTACTATTTAGGCATAGTGCATGCAAAGTACAACACTATTGTTATTATTATGCTGACTGTTGTATAAAAACGACAATATTTTCTCCCTTTCCAATGTTTCATCACCTCTTACATTCATGTTAGTACACCCCTATTATGACGTCTTATTGTGCTACATGTACGTCATGATCTTTTGTCTTTAATATTTTGATTGTTCCATGTACAGATAGTTGAGAAATTTAGTTGTGTGAAGGGTAAAAAATTGCAAGATACTATTTTATAAAAATTATTTTTTTTATTTTTTTTTCTTTTAGTGTAAAATCTTTGAAACTAAGTTTATATATATTATAATACAGTGTTATAAATAACGGCGTCTGTAGCGTAATCGGTAGCGCGTCGGACTGATAATCTTGGGGTCGTGAGTTCGATCCCCGGCGTGGGCGCTGTCGGATTTTCTTCAGAAAAAGAAGCCGTGCTCTATTTCGGCATAGTATGCTTACGCTATATAAATCCTTAGACCACTATGCGAAAATAGTTGGGTATTGACTATGTAGAGACAAGCTGACAGGAAGCATAATAATTTGCGATATCAAGTACTTGGTGTGTAAAATAAGGAATCTACAGTAACCAAAATCTCTCGGGTGCAAGACTAACCTAATCAGTCGATCAGTGTTCAAGACTAACCCTTTTCAGCTGAGTGACATAAGTCTCGTGTCTTAAAGTAAAATCTACCCAATTAACATGTTTATAACAAGCAAAATTGTCCATCCATAGCACTATGCTGTAAGTCTGTTTTACTGTATTGAGCCAATTAGGTTTTAAACCACTGTCACCTATTAAGGTTAACTGAAAAATTCATGAGTTAACCAATATTTTTTACCTCGATAAACCTGGTTACTTTCCAGTATGTATGTATGTATGTATATATATATATATATATATATATATATATATTTATCCCATGTTTACCCCTTTATCCTGTGGATATGACTCATTAGATAATTTTTTCATAATCCACAGTTGTGACGTCACAATGGTTTTTGCGTTAGCGCGATTAAGTAAAATAAAGTGGAGTCCCATATAAAACAGTGTAAAACATTGGTTGTGAAGTATTAAACATGGGATGAAAAGAATCTCCCATGATTTGTAGTTGGATATGACTTTTATCCAACTCGTTGTGTGTTTTTATCCCCTCGCCAAGGCTCGGGGATAAAAAACACACAACTCATTGGATAAAAATCATATCCAACTACAAATCATGGGAGATCCTATATATATATGACTAGCTTGTACATTTATGCACAACAAATTCTGTGGTAAGAAGAAGGAAATACAGAAATGAACTTTTTGAACAGTTTGCTCTAAGTAAAGATTACTGTGAAAGAATTTAAATGTAAAAGTCTGCTGATCTTCAATTCTTCACTAAATCTGTACTGATGTATTCCTACTAATGATGCTAAATTGTTCAAATGTTCACAAGTGTTAGCCTCTGACATAGTCTCTTTGGCACACACTTTCACTTTGAAAGTTTGTGAAATTAGATTAAGTTGAAGATGGGTATTTTCAGGATTTCAAAGCTCTGGCCAAGAGGAAGCGTCCAGCGGCAGCGGAGCCTCAGGCAGCAGCTAAAGCCAAGAGTGACTCGGAATCAGAGACATCGGAGAGTGACGAAGATGTAATTTTTTACATTAGAAAGACAACTAAAAATGTCTAACTTCAATGTATGACTGTATAGAAATGTTAAATTCTTTGATCTCAAAATTAAAGAATTAAACTTAAAAGGAGTTTTGACCTCCACATAACTGCATAGAATAATAATAATTACTGTATAAAGAGAAATTTTAGCGAGGATTCAATTTTGGCATTTTTATCAAGGGTGTTGAGATCGCTAAAATTAAGTATCACTAGCAATTTATTCTGCATTAGAAGTTACTGTTATCTTGCTATGTACCATAAAATTGCTAAAATTACTTCTTATTAAAATTCAATACTCATTTTTTAAGGACAAATCGCTGAATTTTCGTCTCCCTAAAAATTCCAATTTTGCTGTATTAATATGCTAAAGATTCTACATATATAAATGTAATTTAAAGTCAGTTTACAAAATTTTAATATACAAAGTCAAGCCCTTCTGTGAGTCTCTTACACAGTAATTATTGGTTTGTTAAACATGAGTATAATTTACCTAATCATTGTGAGAATACTGCTGACATTCACAATATTAATGAGGTTTACACTAATCTGTTATTATCTTTTGTATAGTGGAATTTTGGAAAGAAAGGAAGCAAGAAAAAGAAAACAAAATCTTCATCCAAAAAAACAAAGAGAAAAGCAGCTGTGTCATCAGATGAAAGTGGAGCAGAAAGTGACAAACAGGTGTCTGAGCCTGAAGAAGGTAGGACATAGAAACCAGGTGTCTGAACCTGAAGAAGGTATGACATAGAAATCAGGTGTCTGAGCCAGAAGAAGGTTTGACATAGAAATTAGGTGTCTGAACCTGACAAATGTATGACATAGAAACCAGGTGTCTGAGCCAGAAGACGGTATGACATAGAAATCAGGTGTCTGAGCCTGAAGAAGGTATGACATAGAAATCAGGTGTCTGAGCCAGAAGACGGTATGACATAGAAATCAGGTGTCTGAGCTTAGAGAAGGTATGACATAGAAAACAGGTGTCTGAGCTTAGAGAAGGTATGACATAGAAACCAGGTGTCTGAGCCAGAAGAAGGTATGACATAGAAATCAGGTGTCTGAGCTTAGAGAAGGTATGACATAGAAAACAGGTGTCTGAGCCTGAAGAAGGTATGACATAGAAATCAGGTGTCTGAGCTTAGAGAAGGTATGACATAGAAAACAGGTGTTTGAGCTTGGAGAAGGTATGGCATAGAGAAAACAGGTGTGTAAGCCTGAAAAATGTTTGACATTAATAGATGTCTGAGCCACAAGAATTTATGACATAGATTTGCTGCTATTGGAGTTGGGTATGAGAAATGTGAACTAATGATTAGAAAATATCTTATTACCATATCCATTAAAAGACAAATAAGGTTATGTTCTATTTAATATCTCTATAAGAATTTTAAACCAGATTTAAATTGCACTTACTTTAACCCTTGTTTGAGTTTTGCATTTGTTCCAATAATATATAAGCTTATCCAATCAATTAGACCAATTGTTTTCTTCCTTGATAGCGTCATGCTATACCAAATATTTAGATTAGTAACA